GGCAGTCGTTCGGTCGGTATAGTTCACTTGCGGATTAAAACCGCGGAGTTTGTTTTGTTTGAAGGCATTCTCGAATCTTCTGGCGGAATCTCTGCAAGTTTTGGTCTCTTAAGTTCGAGAAACATCCGGGGGGGGGGCGTTGCTCCTCGAAAAAGCTATGCACACGAACGTTTCCGCCAATAGCTGAACGAGTTTCCAGCGCATCGTTGCAAATGCCGCTAGAAGCAGCCGCGAGACAATGTCGCCTCACAAAACTGTAGAAATGAGACGATTTATCCTCCTCCAGTCAACTTTGACAGCTTCAAGGACGTTCGAAACGGGGAAATATTTCAAGTAGGAAGTAAAATCACAACATCAGGGTGAATGTCTTAAGAGAGCAGAGAAGTCAATTTTATTTTCTAAATACCGAAACACAAGGCCTGCTTAGTTTGTCGCTCTATCGCCAAGTGTTGTGTTTACATTTCTCCGTGGCAGGCAGTAGTTAATCGACGACAGAACTCTTAATGAAAGTTGCTTTTCATAGAAACCAGATGTGCTTGCCAGCTAAACTGGCGAGTCTCTAACTTGTACCACAACATTCAACTACACCGAACTTTTCATAGTACAGCAATAATAAACATGAAACTTAAGTACAGGTTAACTGTCTAAGTTGAATTATTCCTCGTGGAATGACGTTTGTAACGTTTTCGTAATACACGCACTTGGAACGGTTGGATACTTGCATCCTACTGTTGTTCGAAATTAGGTATCTTCAATGTCACTTAACATGATTAAAAATCGGAGAAAATGGCACAGTTCAAAGGTGTGCTCTATGCTCAAATCGGACTTCATCAGAGCTCCTCTTACTTCAAGGGTGGGAAATTACGTCCCGAAGGAAAAGTGAAGGGAGTCGTCAATCCATCTCAGGTTTAAGTTTAAATGCTGATTTCAACAGTTATTGATTTCTGCTTTCCCAAAAGAAGTATAAAGTACTGGAATCGCAAAACTAAATAAATAAACAAAAGTATGGGATTTTACAGAAATACAATTTTAGATTCCCTAGTATGCGTATTCACTATTTCGATTTACTGTATCTACAAGTCGATGTGAGAAATGCGACTGGGTCTCGTCTCCCGATTCGTTATAATGCTTATATTTACATCTTCGGTACACCAACCGAAGTTTAGGAAACAGCGTCCCAATTAATTATCGTACAAACACTTTTCCAAGAACAGAGATACCAAGAAGACGAGGGAAAAGACGTAAGAAGATGCTGGATGACCTTGGGGACAGAAGAGGATATTTTTATTTGAAGGAGAAAGCTCTAGATCGCATTAAGTGGAGGAACTGTTTTGGAAAAGACTTTGGACCTGTCGTATGACAGATTACACACATACAAGCAAGTCTATGTTTGGTATCGCTACGAAGTTTGTAAGAATAATTGGTGGCTACATAACAGTTCTTGAATCACAGAATTATTCCATCAAGACTTTCTGGCCCATGGTCATTTAGAAACAGCCCAAACCGGTCTCCCGGTACAATTTACCACCCCTGCCTCACGTCGTCTAATTAAAGACATAAGGAATTCAAGAGCACAGGGACGTCCTCCAGCAGTTGGTAACTGCTCATCCCATCAAGAACAAGATGTCCCCCACTGTTACGGAACCTGAAGATGCAAAAAGAATGGTGGTTGCTGGGTTCTGTCCCGAACTAGTTAAATCCAGATCTTCACAACCTAAATCTCCTAACTCGATTTTGAGATCGTCACATCTTCGCCTTCCTCTCCCGTGTGGTTTAGGATCCACTACATTATACACGTTTTTTGTAGTCGTGGCCTATTTCAAGCCACTGAAGCCGAGCTATATCGCATTCGGCATTACCATATGTTCACTGTGGCCGAGTAGTCTGAAACGTTTATGCAGCAACAACGTTGCTTACATTCCCTACAGAACGGACAAAACTTTGTAAGATGAGGCACCGACTAAATAATTAACATTAATATTTCTATATCTACATCACGAGCCTCCAATACTTTTTTTTATAAATACACAAAATATAGAATATTCCAATTTGTCCGTGGGAACGCAACAAAATTAAAAAAACCAACGAATGACTCGATGATGTAAAACATCAATCGAAGAATTTTACTCTTGTTTTATACTATAACTTTTGTTTTATATAATCTAATTTATTGTATTTTTACGTCAGGTATTTTATATAATTAATAATATTGGATCCCATTTTACTAGTGCTGAGGTTCAGTGGTATATATATGTTAACTATGTATTTGCCTGATGATGGCTATTAACAGCCGAAACATGTAGCAGAGCCAAAACTAGGCACTGATCTTGATATTGTGTTGTGACGGTTTTAATAAAGAAGTTGAATAGCAACATGGCTGAAGCGCGAACTTGTGAAGGAGAGTGACACCAGCACCACGTAATATAGGGACCTCACATGATGCACGGCAATCTGAGACAAATACGCAGCTTAGATTTCGGTTCGATGGCAATAACTAACGAACTACTGAGCCAGATGCAGACGACAAACCTGTCTACACACTATACAGGATTTGTGCTTCTCACAGTGATCGTTATGATAAGTTCTATCTTCTGAGATATGACGCCGTGTAACCTGTTGGGAGTGAAGTGAAGCTTAGGAGGAACATGGCGGCCCCCCCCCCTCTTCAGACTTTAAGAGCAAGAGAAGAAGGACGCCAGCGTGACGTAGGCAGCAGTCAGAGTGGCAAGAAGGCAGCTTCTTACTGGCTACTTGTTTGACTTACTCTTAGACCCTGAAGATGGAGGCAGTATACTCCTCCGAAACGTCGGTGGACTACTACGTGACGTTACAGCCAAGAAGACCGTACTTTTCTTAGTCATCGCTGTGCGAACTNCGTTGCAAAAAGGGGAGACTGGCGAGTTACTTAAACACAATGACACTGGCAGTTGTTATTTGAATAGGAATATGATACTAAGAATATTGTGTTCTGAGCGGCATATATATATATATATATATATATATGCCGCTCAGAACACAATATTCTTAGTATCATATTCATATTCAAATAACAACTGCCAGTGTCATTGTGTTTAAGTAACTCGCCAGTCTCCCCTTTTTGCAACGCCCCCGTACCCCGTTCATTCACTGCCAGCTTCCTGCACCAGCAACAGGTGTGGAAGAGGGCGAGTGCGTGGGGAAACGCCGACGCAAGAGCGAGCAAAAGAACGCACATCTTCAACCCATCAATTCCGTTTTGACTGGTGTTAAAGAAATCTGAATTCTAAAACGCTGGCGATTAATGCACTAGTTCCTTAGGCACCAACAACGTTAAGTCCACTAAGCGCAGGTTCCTGTAATAAAGAAGGTCTGTAGCAAGTAATGGTAAAGTTGTTCTTGTGCCTAATCAATGAGGCACTACACCATGGAGACGTATAGAAGAGTGGAAGCATAGTTCCACCATTCTTGACCTCGGCACTAAGTGGAGGTGAGTAGTCAGCTTCATATCCGAGATAAACATGCCTATGCCTAATAAATTCAAAATACTACTTTTTAGTTTAGGTTTGCGTAAACGAAGAAAAATCCATACGGATAAATCAAACTCCGTAACCTTTCTGAACGATCGATCGTAACCAGATCCTGCGTCTAAGTACGATGCCATAAAGCCTTGAAGAAACCGGCCCAACACTTCATAATCGTCGGAGGGAACGTAAGATGCAACAAAACATACCACAATTGTTTCTTGTGTATACTTACATTACAAATATAATTTATTTGGACCTAGTAGTGCGGTTAAAATAATATTATGGAAAAGAACTCTCTTGAATTCTTCTTTTTTTGTTGATTTTGTACCTCTTAAACTTACACTAATACTGAACTCTTAATTCCCACTATGTTCCTGTGTATGGAACAACACTTCTATCCACCTGACAGTCTAACCAATGTAGTTAAAACGTACCGACAACAGCACAGACGTCCAAAACGACGAGACCAGTAACAAACAACAAAATTCCAGCTAAAACAAAAAATACAACACGACCTTTGCTACAAAAGTCGGTCAATATATTTATATATATAACCATCGACGCCTATAACAGAATTAATCAACACATTATCATAATAGGCACTAGAAATTCATAGCAACCGACGCATGCGAAATGCATGGAGTGTGAGACATAGCATCTCTGAAATAACTGCCGACACACAAACTGAGCACTGCAATAGCGACTTGCATGGTAAGGGAGCAATAATTCCTGATGAGTTTACATAATTTTGTAATTTCACACACAAGCTTTTAAATTTAAGCTGGAAACGAAATACTGCTAACATACTGGCCACTATCTACAACAGAAACAATTATACGCAGTTTCGCTAGAACGAATGTATTGCAGCCCGATAACGAACAAGACCGAAACGTTTAGCCACGCAACTGTATACAACATAAACAACTGTACAGAAGGATGTGTTGAAGGAGCATATAATGTGGCATATTTGTTCAAAGCAAGAACTGTGGAGCCGGAGAAACACCCACTGCTATGTAACGGCTCTGTAACACGCAACAATGGAGTAACTGTTTCGAGCGGTGTCTTCTGTGCGGACCGTACCAAAGCTATACAGGTATTACTGGAGTCCTGAGACGGCAGCTGGAGGTTGATGTGAGATGGCCGCCAGCCTGAGAAGACGTGAGCCCGGAAGCAGAGGAACGTCCACAGTTGGAAGACGTTGCCAGCGCAGTGAAGGCCGTGACTGAGAATACTAGTCTCAATTTACTTTACTTTATTTTATTTCACTTCGAAAAATATTAGCTATTTTTACATTGTAGTGCATCTGGCGACCAGACACTATCATGTAGGCCTGTTTATTTTTCTTTGCATTTATTTCTAATCACCTTCCTCAGTAGCAAAGTAAGAGTCTGTACGTTCTTTTTACGATATTTACTTCTCGTCTTATAGGCTAATCACCCGTGTTTCGCTGAATTTCAAATTCTCCGGTCCTCCTTGTACCTATGTCCTGATACTCACCTCGAACTTATACTTGTGGCTGCCTAGGGACGTGCGCTGCTTTTGCCAGAAGTTGTCTGGCTTGATTATATAGGCAATGTGGACGGAGCCGGGAAAATGCTCTTGCAGTACTTTCAGGATCGGCTTCACGGTGCTCCAAGTAGCGCCTCTCATGTCGATGACCACCGTGAACCCCTGCTCACGCACTTCATCGCTGCAAGAAGAAAACAGATTGCTCTACAACAAGTAATTGACTGCCATTTATTGCATGTTCTATTCACTATCTGTGAAGTTACTGGATGCAAATGTAAGCAGCACAGCACCAAAAAGCTGTGTAACCGAACGTTATCAAACTTGATACACAGTTGACGTCCGATAGGGACGTGATGTAATAATACTCAACATTCAACATGTTCTGAGACCTCAGAATGAGTCTCATGGATCTAGCCCTTCTAAACTTCCTCGAGGTCCTGCATGTCCACTCCATGTCCTTATATTCACTTCCATCCGTCTAGCAATTCTGTTCACGAGGATAATGATTAGTGATAAGTGGTTTGGGCTGGCTGACATAGGCCAAATAGGCCCTCGAGTGGAATACAACAGCAGGCAGGGAAGGAGAAACTTCAAGTTCTGCCATCGCGACAACTCATGAGAATTATTTCAGTATAGTATAGCGCCATCTGCGTGTGAACTTCTTAACTTCTTGCTGCTCAACGTTTTAGATTGAAGCGCTATCGCTTTTATAATTGCTCTCCATTTCCCCTTTTATGACAGTCCAATTTAACAGCCGTTGAGAATTAAACAGAAGCCTCGGATTTGTACTTTCGTACTAACTCCCCCTTATTCTCATCAGTATTCCTTTCCAGTCCTACACGTTATCGAATGATACCTGTATGTCGATACACACGTTTAACGCTATCTCCCATGAATAACCCACATAAATAGTCGACAATAAACCATTACCTTTATGTACCATAGTACACTTCACATATTCACATCAAAATATTATCAGTGCTCGCAAAACAAACATCATACTGAAATAATAACTGCTCGCTTGTTCGTGACGTACTATATAATGTACATCCATGCAACGTGTTAACGCTCTCCAGTTCGTCGATTGGTTGCTACGATAGCCTGAATTGCATAATGACAACGATAAGTATATATATCGAAATTGGAGTATGCCTATGTAAGATATATGTGGAATATCGACAGACCAAATTTTAACGAATACAAGACAAATTGTATAATATAAATTGTAAGTGAAATGTTCTTATTAGTGGATGCTAACCATATATGTGACTTCAGCGAATGAGAATAATGCAAGGGAAATAGTGCGTTAGTCCAAATCATATGGTAAACAGTTGAAAAGTCACCTGATGATGACACAAAACCGTTGAAACATGCTGTAGTTTTGAACACTGCTACATTACGTGTGCACTGGAATCAAACTGTGTGTTGGAGTAAAACAGTTTGACGGTTGTAATCGAAGTTTATACAAAAATATTCAGCTAGTATCAGTCGGAAACAATAACTTTACGAGATTTCATCACAAAGTGTCGTACCCATGATGTTTAAGTCGGTTAGTGGTATATTCAACTTGCTTAAAAACACGAAGCAAACAGCCGAATAGCAATGTATGTAAGGTGAAGAGAGATATTAAAAAACGCACAGGCATAAAATATAAGCAAAAGAAGTCCACTCTGAGGTAGAAACAATGCAAGAACGCAGCGACATCCTCTAAGGTGAAAAAGTAAAGTTGTCACCGTGCTCAACTAATTAAGCACTATGCCATCAAGACATATGGGGGAGAGGGTGTATTGATCCACATTTTCTTCACCTAGGCACTACTTGGAGGTGAGTGGTCAGCTTCACGCCCCGGCCGCTTTACCCCCGAGGAAACCGCCCCAGGTACCCTATTGGATAGGAGGCCAGGTGGACCCCACAACCGGTCTGGACGACATGGAGAAAATTTTGACCTTACCTTACAGACCAGTTCAGACGGCGTGAGAAGAGAGAATTGTGACGATAAGGAAAATATTGGGATATTAATTAACTTGTTTTAAGTACGGTCAATTTATTTTAATCAGGAAATATCACGTTCACACGTGATACGAAATTTTGACATATAGTGCAACTACGTATTTTAGAAAGACAGAAGACACATGATAATAGCCGTATACAGCCGAGCCATGTATGTGGAAGAAGGCTGACTGTAATGCTTTGCATTTAAGACGGAAATATATGTGACAGAAATTACATATTAATGCAACAGGATACTTAAATACATAGAATAGCAAAGGTGGCAGCGCGAACCCCCACAGAAAACACCGCTCAGTTGCGTGCGTGTTCGTTTCGGTGGGCATGTGTTTACTGAGCTGATGCTTAGAAGCGGGTTGCATAACCCCGTTGTTCTATTGTTGCATGCGTGTATTGCTTAGCAAACGGCTATTTCTCTGGCTGCACAGCAAATACCCAATAGTATCAATAACCGTATTAACCCAAAATGGGTGTAAGTATTTACAGATTCGTCTTAATCATTTACAGGCCATAGATGTTTTAAAAGTCGGTTCTTACTTTCAAGAAAATATATCGCATCTCCATTACATGTATATCGGTCTGTCAGTGGCGTTGGGGAATTAACACAGTAGTGAGAACGAAACAGACCACATAAATAAATAGTGGGATCACACATCGCGTTATTTAACGTCAAAATTAGGGTTCACATAGCTGCCACTCCCCTATAAAAGCCGAAACCCCTAGCACATTGACGACAGCTTGCAGCATGGACTCCAGATCTGGTCAGACGGTGTCAAGGGGCCGATCACACTGATTGACAGGCAGGCAGATGTGCATTGTACGGAAGTGTGGAAGCATGCGTGGCGTAATTGGAAATGCCTGTGGTTGCGGTACTTCAACTATAGAGCACATCATTCCCATAACTAAGGCCACCCCATTCCAGGCATTGTAAGCCGAGACCGGAGCATGAAATGCATTTCTTCGCCTGCAGGCAATAACATGTTCCCTATCCAGACATTTATCAGTGCATTAACTAGATTTATTGCTTTCGTGATGTTCGAAGTGGGATGCACAATATAAATCCTCTTCTGTCTTAATTCCAGTCTCACCTTTACGTAGTTCATTCCCGTTATCATAAACGAGGCTCTGATGTCAGAGTGATGACAGCATAATCATTGCTACTGGTGAGGAACAAATGGTACTACCTAACTTAGGAGATCGATTCATAGAGGTGAGGTACATATAGAGGCTCTGTCTACTTCCCTTCAGATCTTTCAATCACAACTGTGGCGCTACAAAGAAACAGTGCCGGTCACGGTAGCCGAGCGGTCTAAGGCATGTACTGTCTTCGCTAGCTCTTGGGTTCGAATCCCACACAAGGCATGGATGTTTGGCATGTGTATATGTTTATTAAGTGTTTGTGTTGCCCTGTGTTTGGGTAGAGGCCTTGCGACGAGCTGATGCCTCGTCCAGGGAGTCCCATCGTTTGTACAATGATCATGAAACTGACAATCAGAGGCCAGGGCCCAAGGGGGCTGTAGAGCCAGTAAAAAAAAACGAAGACATTGTAAACTAATAACTCATAAACTCATTTCTGAGCACGATCATTAGCGTTACAAGATATAATCGAAATCTATCAGTAGCTTTGGAAATAAAACATGAGCACAACATACGAGGTTAATATTCTGGTCTTCTGGTTTATGATACCATATAGTTCGGCAGTCGCTTTCGGAGACATCTTCCAACTTCAGGATAGACGCCTTCTACCATCATAAATGTTGGTAACTACAGTTTTTTTTATTGATAGTGGGGCGGGACTAAGTCCCTTGTACTGCGGCCACTTCTGGCCTATTGTACCAGCCCCAGATGATAGGTGAGGGTGACTGTGGAGCAATTGGTGGAATAAAGATTGACAGGGGGAAACCGAAGTACTCGGAGAAAACCTGCCCCAGCGCCACTTTGTCCACCACAAATCCCACTTGACCAGACTTGGAATCGAACCCGGGCCGCCGCGGTGGGAAGCCAGCGACTACCGCTTGAGCTATGGCGCGGCCTTTGGTAATTACATACACGGTGTCACAACAAGGAAAACCACAATGTGGATTAAGATAAACAGATGGCCGAGAGCGATTTCGTCTACCCCTGTATGAGTTCAATTCATAACGCATTAAATTTCCGACTGCCTACATTTATACAGGGTGTAACAGGAGGAATGGACCAAACTTCGGGAGGGTGTTCCTTATGTTAAAGTATGCCGATATAATCCAAAACACCTATGTCCAAAGTTGAACGGTTACGGAGATAATGGCCAAAGAAGTGTCAAACTTTGACCGGTGTCACACACTTGTTGATTACAAAATACATATTAAAACTGGCAGGAATATGTGGATTCTGTAATGTTAATAATGTACGTAACATCAAACTAACTTGTGAGTGACATGAAGCCATAAAATTGAAGTACAAAATACTCGCTCGCCATGTCATAATTGTCCTTAGGGTTTCCATGACACATGAATGGCAAGCGCTGACGTAACATGACTGGCTGCGCGTTCTGGTATAAGCCAGCTACATAAGTACGGCTAGGGTGAATCACGACACTCAAGGACAAACTTAGATAAGACATGCCAGCTGACAGGTATAGTGCGTGGACTCGCCAGAAGACCACACTTTTCTCGGGCCATTATCTCCGTAACCGTTCAACTTTGGACATAGGTGTTTTGGGTTATATCGGCACACTTTAACATAAGGAACACCCTCCCGAAGTTTGGTCCATTCCTCCTGGGACACCCTGTATAACAGCAGCTCTACTGGAGAGTCTGCCACTTGTAACTTCGGCACACAGCATGGTTCCGTCTCTCCATTTTGTGTACCGTCCAAGGATGCGGGCGGAAATAAGAGGAGGAGAAAGTGTGTACGTATGATACAGTAGCTGCGGGCAGGGAACTGTCACACTCTGAGGAACTGACAGTTTTTTGTTGTTTCCGAACCGCGCGGGCAGGCATCCAACTTTACGATGTGTAATAATAAAAACAAGAGTGTTTCTTCATTCAATTTAATTTCGCATCCAGATGAAAGAAGCGCGCTATCCTTGCTCAATTACCAATTCACGCTAACAATTCTGACTTGCCCTAAATTATGCGATAAGTGTTTTAAACAGAAAACTTAAAACGAAAACACCGGAAACATAAATAATAT